TTCTTTTTTAGAAACCTCGCACTTTTCTACTAAATTTTAAACGTTGTAAAATTAAGCGCGGTACACTGCTGCACACGTGCCACAGTATCGATACAGGGCCAGCTGTATCGATACTCGTATCGTCAAATCTCTGTGACGATACATCGTCGTATCGATATTTTGAACATAGCACTACAATATAACGATATGCATCAAAATATTGTTATTTTTGCTTTTAATACATTTTTATGATATCAAGTCAGTATCACAGAAGAACTAATACAAGCCTACAAAAAACAAATTATAAGCAATAGGACAAACTACAATAAGTAAATAATTAATGCTACATACATTATGTAACTTATTCAAAAACACTGCATAGTTTTCACTGTGTAAATAACATTTCTTATTATGAAAGCTTCAAATGTGATTTAGTCGAGGGCAGTGAGAGATTTTCTGTTTACTTTTAATTAAGACCTAAATGGCTGTTTTTATGAGGATACTTGCAAAGATGGGTATTTTGATAAATATAAGTATGTGTATTTAACCTTTCAAAGCCAATAAAGCAACAAAAATACTCACATGCTCTATGAGCAGCAGATCCACGTGCGTGTACCGCTCAGAAACAGTCTCGCAGACAGTGCGTGCATATAAAACTGTTTACATTTTCAGTGGCTTAAAATCACTTGTTTTGAAACCGCAATGCTTGAAAATGTGTGCAAACGATAAATTTTTGTGACCACGGCCCACAGCAAAGTGACGCAAATGCGTAAACGCAATAAAGACGATAGTCCAAAATCTCTACCGGTTAATCGTGTCTACCCTAATATACATGTTACAGATTTCTCGCACATTACAGTGATATTCACACACAGGTATTATGATAATATTGTAACATGTATTAGCATAGACCTTTTCTGATAATTAAGAATTATCATTGTATTTTTCAGCAAACATGGACGTTCTCACAAAGGTTCAAGTGACTTATGAGACGTTCCCTGGCTGGTGTTGTAGCACTGAGGGAGTCCGCAGTTTTGATGAGCTGCCTTTACATGCACAAGCTTACATTCGCTTTATCGAGAATTTCCTGCAGGTGCCAGGTAAAAATACACATACTGTGGAAATCACTTTCATGTGCAATAACATAACCCACTGATGTGCTTAGAAATGTCAAAATGGTCATAAGAAAAAAAATTCTCTTTTCAGTGAAGTGGGTGGGAGTTGGCAAGTCAAGAGAAAGCATGATAAAGCTGTTCTGACGAGGGCAACGGCTGAACTTTGTTTGATGGTCTGCCAGGACATCCATCATCACGACCTTTTGAGGACCAGACCTTTCTTTTATGCATCAGCGCTGAGATTAAGACTAACTGTGGGTTTAGAATCCACTGAATGTCCCACTCAAAGTGAACACCAGCATTGTGTACAGGTCTGGTTTGAGCACCAGACTCGCTTTCCTGCATTCGTAAATATTGACTCATACCCATTTCTTCCAAAGCACATCCCAGAACACCTCAGAACATACCTCTGTCAATCACTAGTAGTTGTGTGAAGTCTGAGTAATTACAGGGCTTCAGATTGAGGGGTGTCATTTTACAGTTTTTCTTAAAATCAAACTTTGTACTCTAGCATTTAAATTGTCCATTTTCATTGCTAATAGGTGGATAAAACCAAACTGATTTTTAAGATGGGTATGTGCTGTTTATTTTTTATGTAATCCAGTGTGAGGGGGTGAGCGCTAAATCTTGTCGTTTTAATTCAGTGTTTGTGTATACTCTTAAGACCGGTTTGACGTGGTTTGAAATACCAAAAGGGACCATCAGTCTTTTGTGATATTGAGGAAGAAGAAAAAAGAGGCATTGTTAATAGTCAGCGATGAGTGCACTCAGACACAGATCTTAAATCTATGAATGACAGTTCTACATACACAGATATACATTGCATTCCACCTAGTGCACAAACTCATTTGCTGCTGTTTTTCCCGAAGAATAAAGTGCTAAACTAATTATGGTTTTAAGTGAATGTTTGTATGAATGCTTTTTCATTTTATTTTGAAAACTATATTTCAAATGGTTACAAAATGGTTAATATGTATAAAGTTAGATATTTTAGTTCACAAATATGTTGCGTGTCACTTTAAAGCCGCACATCCTGTTGTTTTTTGAGTTATGAGAAACAATTATGAATTGAGGTATGTTACAAGTTAAGTAAAAAGGTTACCAAATTTCTCAGAATATATTTTGCAATCTCAGTCTTGGGGATATGGTGAGTAACAGTTTCAGCGGAAAATAGGATTCAAATGAACACAGTAATCTGAATTATCATCAGTCTAACGTTTGTCTCGTGAGGCAGCAGTTCTAGTATAATGCGAGTTTTTCTCTGTGTGCTATGTCTCGTCCTGTGCCACAAGACATCTGGGATGAACGTTCAGGTATAATTTAACCTTTTTTTTAGCCGAAAATCAGACGTTTATTATAGGAACCTAATTTATGTATTCATTTCAGTTTGTGCCGTTGCATTGCCTGCAAATTATAATTTACTAAATGTTTTGCCTAGTTTTTTTCCCCCTCTAGTATACTAATTAAGTGGTAGTAAATCGGTATTAATGTCGTGATTTTTAAAATTGCATGAAATTATGTTCAGTTATTTATAGTCAGCGTGTGTAACTCTTCTGCAGTTGCGTGTAGGTGTTGTAAACACAGCGTACGTGTTTTGGTGAATGACCTAGGATGATGGTGTACGTGCTTAGGCTCATAATATCTGTTAGTGTAATTATAACAGGAGGCAGGAGAGATGTAGACACGCCTAATTTAATTTGTAGCACAAGTTTTCGGTCTGTCTCTCTATTTTTATGGCCAATACATGCTATTAAGACAACAAAATGTTTACGTGCAGGCTACGCCATACATAGTGACACCTGTCGGTAATTCTGAAACTGAATGCCGTAGAAAACCAGTTGGAACCTAATAAATAGGGTGACCATACGTCCTCTTTTCCCCGGACATATCCTCTTTTTGGACCTACAAAAATGCGTCCGGCCGGGATCTTGTTGGATGCAGCATTTCTTATTCTTTTTCTATTCTTTCTTGTTTTCTTTTTATTTATTATAAAAACAAAATAATAAAAAAAAACAAAAAAACTTGCTACTTATACTGTTATGTAAAGCCCCGCCCCCTACTGTCCTCTTTTTGAAAAACTAAGATATGGTCACCCTATAATAAATAAACATCGAAATTAACCAACCCTTGTTGTATCTTTAAACCCACAGCATCCTCAAAATATCGGTCATGAATCTGTTCAAGGTATTCCCTCTCGCTCTCTGTCATTTATCTGTTTATAACTATTCATAGGAAGTTGATTAGACCATGTCATTTGATTGTTTTCAACAATGTTTCTTAGAGAACTCAACTCAGATATTACGTGTCTTTGTCATAGTGTGTTCTCAATCGTATTATTATTTTTTATATTTTAATTGTAATTAATTATTTTAGCAGGGAATATCTATGTCAGCTCCCTTTGCAAGCCTCGTGAAACTTTAGTTGAAGTTGAGCACGAGTTCCCTGAGGCGATGCTCAGCCGTGTTCTTCCCTCTTGTGTGCCTCTGCAGCGCTGTGGAGGCTGCTGCTCTGATGAGGCCATGCTGTGTGTGAGTGTCAGCACACACACCACTGTCATGCAGGTAAGGCAATGTAAGAGAGGGTGCTCGCTGCAGAGCCAAATGGGAGGAGCTGGAGCTCTAACTCCCCCTCACTGGATGTAATGGGTGGAGCTAGACACCCAACAACTCCCTAACCCTACCCCTTACCCTATAGCTAAACATAACTCCACCCATTAGTTCACACAGAGGTGGAGCTGGACATCCAGAGAGGGGGAGCTGGAGGTCATTTGGCTCTGCAGTGAGCAGTACTTGCAATGTAATGGATTCAGACAGTCCATCATAACATGTGTTGTTCCAACTCTTATTTGTTAGTTATTTTATAATGTTTTTCCCAACAAAATTACAGTTGAAGCAGTTTGCCAAGAATGTGCATGGGGATACTGTTGAAGAGATTATTGAGCTGCCGTTTGTTGAACACAGCCAGTGTCAGTGCAGGTAATGTTCAGGTTTATGACTTAACATTAAAAGCAATGATTGCTTTATAATTTCATAGATCTTCTGTAAATCATATATCTGTATGATTTGTATTATTTACAAGTTAACTTCTCGTGGTGTTTAAATAATAATAATAATAATTATTATTATTATTTTCTTTCTTCTTGCAGGCACAGAAGCCAACTATGATGCTTTTTGATACAGCTCATCCATGCCGCAGAAATTTGTTACACCAAACACACAAAATAATTATCTTTAAAAAAGCATCATATGACCCCTTTAACAGTTATTTAAATGATTTCCTATTACTAACATTATTAATATATTAAATATAATAATAACAACATTACTTTTATATTTAAGATTGTGTAAAACACTGCTTTTATCTGAAAAAAAAAAAATTGCTGTTCACTTAAGTACAAAGACTTTTTTCTCTTTTAGTTACTCTCAAAAACTTTTCTTTCACTCAGTTGTTTTTTATGCACATTCTACATACAAGACGAAATAAGAACAGACAAACATTCCTACATTGCTTCAAGTAAAAGTAAGCAATTACATTATTAATTATTAAGAGATTATAAAATTAAACAAAAATAAGCCTAACAGAGAAGAAAAGAAGAAGAAAGGAAATGCTACAGGTGAAAACACATTCAGAAAGAATGTCAAACATGGTGCATACATTCTGGTGCCTGTTTTGATTGCTTTCTTATTAATAAACGATTTTAATTCAGTCATGTGTTTGACTAATTTAACAATAAAACTGATGAAAATAATGATATCAGTATCTATACAATGTTTCAGTCATTTTCACTCATCTGTGTTGTCTTCAACTCACTACATCAAACAAAGTGTTACAGCGCCACCTTGTGTTGAAGATAATCAGCGAATCGCCTTTAAGAATACGTGGCAGAGACGTCAATATTTGTGTAAAGACCCGGATATAATTCACAACCTGCACACACACAGTTCAGCCATCAGAGAGGCAGAGTGGTGAGAAAATAATCTTTGTATCTTTCAGCTCACATGTTGCCATCTCCTCTTCACTTCACAAATTAACGCTGTTCATTTATTCAGACGCGTGTGGCGCTTCTCATTGTTTGACCGATGAAACATTAGGATCATATATTTAGCTACACACTGAGCTTAGCAGCTAACAAGAGCTGGATTTCATGAAAAGAGTATAAAAAGCATTGCAAAATAATGAGATACGCAGAACACATACTACCACACTGCTGGATTTTTTTGTTTTTAAAATGACTGCGCAGATGACAACAGCAGAGGCGCATAAGTTTCTAGATATATTCTCTTCAAAACAGCTGCTGTCTAATTAAATTGATCAGGAAAGACATTTATAATGTTACAAAAGATTTCGAGTAAAAGCTGTTATGTTGAACTTTCTATTCATCAAAGAATCCTAAAATGATACAGTTTCTACACAAATATTAAGCTGCAGCACAACTGTTTTCAAAATTGATACAAAAAATAATAATAATACAATAAATGCATATGTAAATCGGCATATTATGAATATCATAGGTACATTCCCAGTCTAGACACTATTTAAGTTGTGAGACACGGCTACATGCATCTTCATCAGAGTCCTGTTTTGACTTTATGCTAAATAATGAAAGTAAAATTGTAAGGGAGTTTTACTGTTAACACACTTTCACTTTGATCTCTCTTTCCTCTTTTTAAGGTGATGAGTTGGTGCATCCATGAATGCACGGCGGCGTCACGGTCCTAGAAGCAGCCAGGACGGGGTGTACGCTGGGCCGTCTCAGACCCAGTCCCAGCTGGTCCAGCAGCTGGAAACCCCCCTGGCTGTCCCAGCACCCATCGCCCCTGTCCTAGACACATTCAGCATGTCCTGCCGAGACCGTACCAGCGAGTTTCAGTCGGCGTGCAAGTCCCTGCAGGGGAGACAGGTGCCATAACTATTGATGCATTTTGTCCAGTAACCTGCGAGTGGCTAATAGGTTTGTGTTGAAGTTTTTCTCTTGTTCTTTTCCAGAATGGAGCACAACCTGTGAGAGCTGTCAACAGTGCAGTCAGACAGCGGAGTGAATTCACACTCTTGGCTAAGTGAGTTAAACTCTCAATCGCTCATATAAAGTTCAAGGGGGAAAGAATGTGATTTACTTGGATTTCTGAACATTTTTATTTGATCTGATCTTCAAATAAGTAACAGCAATACCCATGCATATTCTGCTTAAATTAATAGCACACACATACTGATATGTGAATATAATTTGGTTTTATTTGCACACTGTGTACATATTCCCAGTGCATGGTGGAAATAATATGTGAATGCTTGTTTTTGATAATGCTTGGATCACTAAACCTCAATGAACCCAGTGTTTATTGCGGTTCAGTCCTCGATGAACCAGAGGAATTTTACACCGTTCCTCTAAATGTAACAGTTTAAGTTCTACAATATTCTTGGAGTGTTTGGTTTGGTTGCTCTCTTAAGGTCATGTTGAAGTGTCTCAGTTAGGTTGAAGGTGGCTTTCCAGCTTCATGCAAGTCAGCAATTCTTAATCTTAGGTGCTGTGAGATCTCTTTTGTTCCAGGCATGGTTCACGTCAGGCATTGCTTTTTGTGAATGCCTATAAAAAGAAAAGTAAACCTGTTTTCTTTAGAAATGTACCCTTTTTTTCTTATTTTTTTTAATCATTGGTGTTTTTTAACAAGAGAGAGGTAAAAACAATAAATCAACATTTGGTTTGATATGTTAACAGACTTATCAAGATGAAATCAAACAAAAGTATTTCCTACTCTCAGAGTGTGGTACAAAATACAATTATGTATGCTCGCTACAAAATAAAAAGAAAACAAGTGATGAGAAAAATGCATAATAATAATGAATATGTATATTTGCAAAGCAAGATTTTAAACAAAACCTAGAAAGAAAGTTTATTCACTCAAGAAATATCATATTGTGTAATTAAGTAACAAGTAATATCATTTTAATTACACTCTCTTATTTTTTTTAATCATTGGTGTTTTTTAACAAGAGAGAGGTAAAAACAATAAATCAACATTTGGTTTGATATGTTAACAGACTTATCAAGATGAAATCAAACAAAAGTATTTCCTACTCTCAGAGTGTGGTACAAAATACAATTATGTATGCTCGCTACAAAATAAAAAGAAAACAAGTGATGAGAAAAATGCATAATAATAATGAATATGTATATTTGCAAAGCAAGATTTTAAACAAAACCTAGAAAGTTTATTCACTCAAGAAATATCATATTGTGTAATTAAGTAACAAGTAATATCATTTTAATTACACTTTTGATTTATGATTATAAATTACAGATATCATTAATTATTCATTCTTAAATTACATTGTTTTTACTCTGGCAATTCTGTTAAATATATAGACCATATATAGACCACTGTTCAAAATGTTTGGGTCAATATTATTTTTTAAAGAAATTAATCATTTTAATATAGCAAGGAAATTGACAGTAAAGACATTTAAATGTTACAAAATATTTATATTTTAGATAGATGCTGTTTTGAATAATGAAAGAATCTTAATACAAATGTATCACATTTTCTGCAAAAATATTAAGCAACACAACAGTTTTTAACATTAATGATATTAAGGAACGTTTCTTGAGCACCAAATCAGCATATTAGAATGATTTCTGAAGGATCATGTGACACTGAAGACTGGAGTAATGACTGCTGAAAATTCAGCTTTCATCACAGGAATACATTTTTAAATATATTAAAATAGATGACAGGTATTCAATTGTAATAATATTTCACAGTATTCCGGTTTTTACTGTATTTTTAATCCGATAAATGCAGCTTGGTTAGAATAAGAGACATCTTTCAAAAACATTAAAGGAGACATATTATGCCCCTTTTTACAATATGTTATATAAGTCTCTGGTGTCCCCAGAATGTGTCTGTGAAATTTCAGCTCAAAATACCCCACAGATCTTTTATTATATCATTTTGAAAATGCCTATTTTGAGTGGAAGCAGAAACACGCTGTTTTTTCGTGCCTGTCTCTTTAAATGCAAATGAGCTGCTGCTCCCCATCCCCTTTTCCAGAATAGAGCTGCGCCTTTACAGTAGAGGTCTGCGCAGGACATATTTTGAGTGGAAGCAGAAACACGCTGTTTTTTCGTGCCTGTCTCTTTAAATGCAAATGAGCTGCTGCTCCCCGCCCCCTTTTCCAGAATAGAGCTGCGCCTTTACAGTAGAGATCTGCGCAGGACTGTTTTTTTTAGTCCCGCTCCCGCAAGGTTCTATTCCGCACCCACCCGCTCCCGCTCCCGCTGTATATTCACTCTTTGTTCTCCTGCTGTCTGCTTAGAATAATTTTCTTCCCGACCCGATCGTTCCCGTTAAATTTAGATCTCACTTCCAGAATCTCACATTTAAATTTCCGCTACTGAAAGAAAGAGAGATATGCTAACAAATAAAAGTGTAGTCTGCACAAAATTGTATGTTATTTTATTCGTCTTGTCAAGAGTCTTGAATTTATTGACTTTGACTTCAATTTATATGAATTATCTTAAGACACAAAATTTGTTTAATATTTTATGCAACACAGTAGGAAAAAAAGTATCAGAGAAAATAAAAATGTTGTACAAAAATTGTATTTCTTATTTTTATTCATCTTGTCAGGATACAATTCGTTTAACATTGACAACACAATAGGAAAAAAGTGTTGCAGAGAGAAAAAAAAATGTAAATGTAGGTTGTACAAAAATAGCCTATTAGCTATTTTTATTTGTCTTGTCAAAATACTAAATTCGTTTGACATTTTTCTGTTCGCACAGTTGGAAAAGTGTCGCAGAGAAAAATAAATAAATACGACATCTTTCATTTAAAATGATAGGCTAAGCAAAATATAAACAAAACCAAGTTGAACTTCCTTCAAGGACAGCGCATCCACACTTTGCTCCATCCTTATTCTGCTCTGTCACTCATCGACAACCTGCTTGTTCTGTCTGAGGGCCGTATATTTATCACAGGTACAGCCTGCTTTGAGCATCGTTATGCACATGCTGCGCACAGACCCCGCAAATAAAACTTGTGACGTTTAAAGCATGCGTGCAGTCCTGAGCGCAAGCTGTACCGGTGGTCAATAAGAATAAAGCGCAGATATGCTGTTCTAAATGGACGTCGGGAACGGAATATTGTTAGACTGCCCGCTTCCGTTCAAATTACACCAGAGTTACCGACCGCTACTGCGTTTTATTCAGGAATTTAATCCCGCGGCGCAAAAAATCCGGTCGGGTCCCGCGGTTGCAGACCTCTACATTACAGCTCGGACCTGCTAAAAACATCTTTTTTGTTCTGATTATCATGTTTATCACGCTGAAATCATGCGTTTTAAACCATATTAGTTTAAACTTCTGATATACGGTTTTCTGAGCGCACACAACCGAAGCGCACGGACAGAAAGCGGCTGTCACAGCATATGAGTACTAAACTAAGTTTTCATTCACACACAAGTTTACGTTAAAAACACACATGAGTTACAAAAACGGTTATGTCTGTGAAGGTAAACAGCTGGGAAATAAATTGCATGTTTATTTTAGATCTGTGTGGCAGCAGCAATAAACATTAAATAAAAATAAAAAATCCACTGCTCTCTTGTCTCCTCTGAGGCTGGGACTCTAAACAGTGTTCTGTGCTCGTCTGTGCAGCCAAAGACAGAACAGTTAGTGAACTTTCGCCATGGCATTAGAACTAATACACCTTGTCGCTTGCCAAATCAAAATGACGGCGCCGTGGGTAGAAACTTACAGATTAAGGGGTGGTAATATTATAATGAGATCCCTTTGCCACGTCACCAAAGGAGCGAAGTCAGACGCACTCATTTTCTCAGACGCTTGCAGAAAAAGGCTTACCAAAACAAAGTTACTGGGTTCATCTTTTTCACGTTTCCTTGGTTGATAGATGCACCGGGGACCTGATTATCGCACTTAAAACCTGGAAAAGTCAGATTTTCATGATATGTCACCTTTAATAAACTTTTGATTGCTAGTGCTTCAGGCTTTTCTTTTTCAAGAATTAATTGTCATTATGCTATCACAACAGTGGTGTCACACCGACATTTTTTACTTTATTAAAAAGTTTCCTAAGTATGACTTACATTTTTATTGTATTTTTTTTATCAGTACATTAATAGGTCTGAATAAAAATAAACAAAGGAGCATGATGTGATTGACCCAAATGTCAAACTCCAAATTTGTGAATGATTTTTAGTGTCTGACTGCACTCCAGGTTAGCTGACTCCTGACTGCTGTTAGCTTTTGAAGCTTTACATACTTCAATCTATTGTTTGTTTATTGTTGAAGATTAGATCAAATGACCAATTTCCTGGAAAATCCAGAGGGTTTACAGACTTTTTCCTGCAACTGTGTTTAGTATTGGCACCGAGACGCTGCATTTGACCTATAATTTATTCAGACCTACTTAAGCTTTAATGGTCTGTGTTATTTCATCGACTTGGCCTTATGACAGATATTGACCGCATCTCATTAACAGGCGAATTGGAAGAGACCTCAGCAACACTATTGCCAAGTTGGAGAAGCTCACAATCCGTAAGTATCTCTTCTCACACATGTGCCACTGTGTACTGTTTTGACGTGTAACTCAATCTGTTTTCACCTGCAGTTGCCAAAAGAAAGTCCCTTTTTGATGACAAAGCAGCTGAAATTGATGAACTCACTTATATTGTGAAACAGGTTAGGGTGATTGTTACTTTCCCTTCGCCAAGGACACATTATTCTGTCTGTCCATTTCATACTACAATCTGTCTGTGTTCATTCAGGACATTAACAGTCTAAATAAGCAGATAGCTGGCCTGCAGGAACTCGTTCGATCACGGAGTGGACAGAATGGCAGACATCTTCAGACGCATTCCAACACCATCGTAGTCTCTTTACAGGTATTAACCTCTGGCCTTACTGCTCAGTCACAAAGTAAAGATGTCTAGTGGGCTTCCGCTTGAAATTAAAGCCTGTTTTCTGTTTGTAGTCCAAACTGGCATCGATGTCGAGTGACTTCAAGTCAGTCCTGGAAGTCAGAACAGAGGTATTTGATTTACTTTTTAAATGTTCGACCGCGTACCATCATGCTACGTTTCTGATCAGTTTTTCAATATTTGAATCATGTTTTCTCTGTTTAGAACCTAAAACAGCAGAGAAGCAGGCAAGAGCAATTTTCTCAGACTCCTGCCTCGTCCTCCTCTTTCCACGCCAACAACTTCAGTAAGAGCATCTCTACTTGTGAAAAAAGCAGATGTTGTCCACATTCATGTAGTTATTCTTCACTTTTGGTCCTCTTTCAACAGACAATTCGGTGCTTATGCAGGACGACTCCAAGAAGACGGATATATCTATAGATATGGACCTCAGCTCCAGTCAGCAGATGCAGTTAATCAGTGAACGGGTATTGTTTGTTCATCGGTTGTTTTAGAATGTACAGCAACTGATTTAAGTAAGTTTGAATCTCCGTTGTCATGTTTGTTTAGGATTCATACATTCAGAACCGTGCTGACACTATGCAGAATATAGAGTCCACCATTGTGGAGCTCGGATCCATATTTCAGCAGCTGGCTCATATGGTGAAAGAACAGGAAGAGACTGTACAAAGGTGAGGAAGGATCTTCCTTGAGAGATTCTTCATCATGAGGAGGTATTCTATGTCCATTTAGATAGATTTTCTGACATTTTCACCTAAATTTCTGTTGTTATTGTTTACCAAAACTATTAAAAGTCATTTTAGATAATTAAAATAAAATGAGTAAAATGTCATTTTAAAAGCTTAAACTTAAAGGGATAGTTCACCCAAAAATTCTGTCATTAATTACTCACCCTCGTGTCGTTTCAAACCCGTAAGACCTCCGTTCATCTTCGGAACACAAATTAAGCTATTTTTGATTAATTCTGAGAGTTCTCTGACCCTCCCATAGACAGCAATGCAATTAACACGATCAACGTCCAGAAACGTAGCAAGGAGATCGGTAAAATAATCCATGTGACATCAGGGGTTCAACCGTAATATTACGAAGCTACGAGAATACTTTTTGTATGCAAAGAAAACAAAAATAACGACTTTATTCAACAATTCGTCTCCGCGTTAACTGCACCATGTGGATACGTTGTTTTTGTTCAAATCAAAGCGTAAATAAACTTAGAAAACGTATCCGTGTGACGCAGCTGACACAGAACAGCATATGCTGTTTACATCCAGTGGATACTCTCCAAAATGGTGCTAGGGTGACGTGGAGAAGACGAATTGTTGAATATTCTTTGCATACAAAAAAATATTCTCGTAGCTTCGTAAAATTACGGTTGAACCCCTGATGTCACATGGACTATTTTACCGATGTCCTTGCTATGTTTCTGGACGTTGATCGTGTTAATTGCATTGCTGTCTATGGGAGGGTCAGAGAACTCTCAGAATTCATCAAAAATATCTTAATTTGTGTTCTGAAGATGAACGGAGGTCTTACGGGTTTGAAACGACATGAGGGTGAGTAATTAATGACAGAATTTTCATTTTTGGGTGAACTATCCGTTTAGTTAATTTTCGTTGAAGTTGAAATTACTGTAAGTAAAACTGAAATAAAACTAATAAAAATGACAAAGCATATAATGGAATTACTAAAACTTAAACACAAATATAAAATATCTGAAAATATAAGAAAAAAAAAGCTAATTCAAAATAGTAATAAATAATAAATACTAGTACATAAATATGACTTAGAAATGTACCTAGAAATGTAGGTCAGATTCAAGCACCAGTCTTTATTTTTTTCTATTTCATTTTAAGTGTCTAATCAATAAACAAGTGTGTTTTTTCCCATTTGCTTCCATTTGTGGTTTGGTCATCACTGTGTATGACCATAATGAAAAGCTCTCTGCCAGTGTAATCACCACTTTTACTGCCGCATAACAGTTACCCAGCAGTTTCTTCAGTAGTAAGTGGTACCAGTGTCATAAAAAATAGTTTTCTAAATTGTTTTGGCAGAATAATGATTTAGGTTGTTTTGAATAGGCCAGCATCTTGACTCCACTTTAACATCTTGAGACATACACTACCGTTCAAACGAAATAACATTTATAATGTAGTATAATTTATAATAAAAAGATTTCTATTTAAAATAAATACTGTTTGAACTTTGTTTAATGTAACGGTTTCCACAAAAATATTCAGCAGCAAAGCTTTTGTCAACATTGATAATAAAAGAAACAATTCTTGAGCATCAAATCAGCATATTAGAATGATTTCTGAAGGATCATGTGACACTGAAAACTGGAGTTAAAACGAAACATTTTAATATTTTAAATTGTATTTCACAATATTACTGATTTTATAAATGTAACCTTGGTGAGCATAAGACTGAAAAAAAACTGACCCCAAACTTTTAAAGGGTAGTGTTATTTACACTATGTATGAACAAACAATAATTCTTTCCGTTGAACTTCTCTCTTCTCTGACAGAATTGATGCTAATGTCGAGGACACTCAGCTGAACGTGGATCTCGCGCACACAGAGATACTCAAATATTTCCAGTCTGTGTCCAGCAACCGCTGGCTGCTCATCAAGATGTTCCTAATCCTCATCATTTTTTTCATTGTCTTTGTGGTTTTCATGACCTGATGTCCACTCTTAAGAGGCGCAGATTCGGGTGATTCTCAGTATTTGAGGAATGAAAAGGGCCGTTCTCTCAGTCTCTTTTTTTTCTTTTCTCTGCTCTTTCTATCCTCACTGGCTGCCAAGCTCTCTTTTAGTGATCTTCTTCCTCAAAATGGATGGAATTGAATATTCGTAAGACTCTATATAGACAGAGCATTTGTCAGTTTGTAGTTGATTTAAAACAGTCTGTCCATTTAAATTTCAATCTGATATGTTTCTGCATCTGAGGGTTGTCCCCCCTAAAAATATGATTTAAAAACCACTGTGTATTGTAAATAACAATGCTTTATACTTTAAATAATTGTGTAAGTAGTAAAGCAACGCAAACGGGACAAAAATGCATTTTAAGTTTAGAAACATTTTGAGACTCCCCCTCCCTTGCCTCACAGTGCTTTGGTCCAAATGCCTGCTTTCCTCTTTTGCATCACCTGTCCTACACACACACCAGTCCGGTGAGAGAGAACAAAGCCAATAGTTGTGGAACTCTAGTAAGTAAGGCTGTCAAGGCTATTTTATTCACTTAAACATCGGATGAAGTGATTATTTTCTCTCTAATACAGATGATGCCAATGTATTTTTTATAAGTCTGCTATGTTAGCAATAATAATGTTACCTGCTTGACAGACAGGGTTGCCAGGTTTCACACAACAAAACCCGCCCAATTGCTTGCTACTCAAAACTAGCCCAAACTAACTGCGTTTCGAGGGGTCTCCTGGTAAAATTCGCATTCCAGGGGCTAAATATTACATTATTGGGGTTGCTTCAACCCGCGGAAACAGTGATAAAGTAGTCCCTAAACCCAATTCCGCAGGAAAACCGCGGACTTGGCAACACTGTGACAGATAGTCATGTCTACAATGGACACGAGCGCAGTCGTGGCGCGACCACAATAGCTTGAAGTTATCTAATTTGACACGGTCTGGTCTCCCTGCTACACTAATAGTAGTATAAGCTTTCCTCTGTGTATACATATCCTTACAAGTACAATTTTAGCTGTATTATTTGTCACCTCAAAAATTGCTCTTGAGAAATTTTATGTTTATTTACCCCACGCCCCTCCTTATTATGCATTTGCATTTTTTTTCTTTCTGTTGTCTAAATCTTCTTTTAGAGAAGACTTTATGCAGTGGTTTGTAACAGAATCCATCTTATATTCTGCCTGCTGCAGTAGACTACCAAGCCATCTCAAATGAGGATTATGCTTCTACACCTTTATGATGACTGTCTAGAGGTTTTAATATGTATTCTTTCTGTTTTTGATTTTGGGATTGATTACCACGTTTACAAAACTTGTGAACACAGCAGGTTCAGCAGGTGAGAAATAAGTATTTGGAGCTAGAGAACTTTTACAAATTTTGGCTGTGAATCATGAAAGTTAAACACAATTCAAACAGGATTTTTCTTTTATTTCATTGGGTGTTTTAATCCTCCTTCACAAGCTTGTTTGAAATGTCTCATGGGGTCCATGAGAATACTTCAAATGGAGTTTTCTAGAGAATACATCCTTTTGTGTTTAACTGGACATTGAGATTGGGGGAACGTCCTACCCCACCATTTGTGAAATGCATACTGTAAAATGGAAGAAATAGAATTGTATGCTTGCTTTGTAATGTCTGTTGCTATTTGTCTTTTTTACAGTAGCATATGTAGTAACTGATTACTCCAAATTCATTCAGATTATTAATAAAGTTAATCAAAGCTACTTTTAAATAAAGGACAAAAGCGGCATTTTAAAACTATAATGTTTAATTCTTGCATTTGATAAATATGCCACATTTGATGGAAGGGAAGTGTACAAAAGGTTCATGATGCTGAAACAGCAAGACCATGCTGCTTGAATGAGAAGAAGAGCAATACGCTCTTAAAAATGAAGGTTATTCATTAGCATCTGATTCAGTGAAGTACCTTTTACATCAACAGAACTGTTCCACTCTCTCAGAAAAAAGGTACAAAACTGGCACTTTGAGGCGGTACCCTTTCAAAAGGTACAAATATGTACCATTTAGGAGTAAATAAGAGTAAATAAGACACTTTGTGGCTACAAAAACTTAGTGGAAAATGTCCTCTGCTATGAAAACCGACTTCATCATCCACTGAAATGACTTGGTTAGTTTTGACAAAACGTCTAAGCCAATGTGATTTTTTTTGTATAATGTAGTATTTTTCATGTGTTTTCATATCATGAGGGGAGGTTACCACAGAAATGGTTTTGAAATTAAAGCGTTTTTTGTTTTTCAATTTAACATTTCAGTAACCAGAAATGTTTCGATGCATGCCTATGTGAATTTATTTTATTTTCTATGTATTTAAGTATGGTGACACTAAGGATGGGAGGTAATAGGCTGCTTAAACACTTTTGAAGTGTTTGAAGTTAAATAGTAACTACAAAACTTTTGTTCCAAGTCCATTTCAGTGCTGGATAGATTAGTTGCAATTTGTAGTCCATTACTGATTCCAAAATGCATGAACAAAATTGCAGATGTAATGCATTACATTACACATTTTAGGTAATAGAATCAGACTACTTTTTGATTACTTTTGACCTAACTCATTTATCACATTGATTTAAATCTTGTACCATATTGATATAAAAATACCAAGAGAAAGAAATAAGCTATTACATTTATTGTTTTTAATAACACGAAGTGCATAAAACATTACATTGTGTAAGGGTTTCCCAAAGTGGGGTTCATGAATAAACAGCATGGGTGGATGAGTTTAATGAAAAGCTAATAATTAAATCGTAAAATGTGAAATCTAAATAATTGTAAAATAAATCAAAATAAAACACTTACAAAAAAGATTCAATATTTGATTTGCTTACCTGCATGTCATGTGACCATTAACCAATGTCAGAGAACCATGAACATGTTACCTTAAATTCCTTAAAAATCATGAGGGACATCTCAATATTTGGGAGGGTATTATTGTCAAAGGCGGAAGGTATATCTAGATCTGTCTACACATCATTATCATTAGATGTGCCTCCCAAGATTATTAAAGATCTAGATCAGATTCTTTATAACTTTATTTGGAGAAAAAACCCACATTATTTTAAAAAGGAGGTCATTTGTAATCCTAAAGAGCAAGGGGGACTGGAGGTCTTAGATTATAATACTCTCAATGACACTTTTAAACTTGAATGGTTGATAGAGTTTATGAAGAATAGAGAAAGTCCTTGGAATGTATTTCCAAATTATATATTTAATACTCTTGGAGCCATAGACTATTTGTTGAAATGTAATTTTTCTGTTGACAAAATTCCTGTTAAATTGGCCGGTTTTCACAGACAAGCCCTGTTAGCATGGAAATTGATGTATAAGCACAATTTTTCACCCCACAACTATTTCATATGGAATAACGAGGACATATTATTTAAAAACAAATCTTTATTCAATCATACTTGGTTCAAAGAAGGTATTCTTTTAGTAAGGTGGTTAGTTAATTCCCATGGGTACTTGTTGTCATATACTGAATTTCTTCAGAAATTCCAATTACCAGTTAAACCAAGAGAATTTGCTATTGTTTTTGACGCAATTCCAAAGAGTGTGATGTTACTTTTAAAAAAACTGTATCTCAGAAGAAATCAGCATGGTTAATCCTAGTGGTAACATTTTCATTGAAAACGTTGATGTTTTAAAACAACAGTGTAGCAATAAGATTATAAGGAATGCTCTTTGTTCTGTGTCCCTACCTGCAGCAAGATTTTTTTGGTCTTCTTTATTTGGTAATATCTCTTGGGTTAAAGCATGGAAACTGCCAAATAAGTTTTATATCAATAACAAAATTAAGGAAGTGTCTAACAAAATACTTCATCGAATTTATCCTGCTAAGCATGTTTTGGAAAGATTTAAGCTTAATATTTTGTATACCTGTGAATTTTGTGGTCAAGAAAAAGAAACTATTTTGCATATTTTTTTCATTGTATTTATTCAAGATTATTTTGGAAGGATTTTGAATTCTATATTAACAGAAAAATAGAGTGTATGATAGAAATTTGATAGATACTTTTTTATACAGAAAACATTTGAATTGTAAAGAACAACATATTATACATTTGTTTATTTTGTTAGGAAAATTCCATATACATAAGAAGAAGTGGGCTCAATGTAAACCATATTTTGCACATTTTATAAATGACTTTAAATTATATGTAAATCTCTTAGAACAAACAAAAAACAAAAAAGCACTGAAAACATGTAATGCTCTGAAAGCATTGAACTTTATGTAATTTTCTTCCCCTTTTTTTTCTCTGGCAGCTAATAATATTAATTTGATAATGTGAATATGTAATACCTCATGTTCTTGTGGCATTGAATTAATAAAGCATTTTAAAAAATCCTTAAAAATCTCAGGGAGTAGAATACTTCAAGAAAATATTAGTATATTGATATATTTCCTTTTACATTTAAAAGGAAATTTTAAAAGATGAAGAAAAAAGAGTTAGTGAGAATCAATAAATTATTAATAATTTATTGCAATTGCGAGAATAATAAGATATGTTATCATGTATTTTTAAATGCCTAATTAATTTTTGGAATCTGATTACGTAATCCAGATTACATGTAATCAGTTATTACCTAGCACTGCACATCATAACTATAGCTTCTTTTTTTTTTTAAACAACACACTTCTTTTTTAGGAGCGGCAAAACATAAATTGTGTTGTGCTATATATATGCACAGACTGCACTCCAAAGTTTACAGACAGAAATTTCTTTTTAAAAATCGACACCACTTAAGGTACTCGATCATTCTCAAACTAAATGCATGTTGCTGTCTGAGGTCTGAGGTATTGTTCACTAAAGTCTAACTCTAACCTACTATTGACGTAGGCCTACCTGAGGATGAGGGGACCGCACTGGGAGGGAGAGACCTTAGCACACAGATCCTGAAGCTCCAGCATCTCCCCAGCTGGAATCTCATAGGAGGAATTAGTTTTGTGGAGGTGCAGCCAGCCAGCTGTATCCACAAAGGAGCTGCACCTGCGGTTCTCCGTCGTCCTATCCTGGCGGAGGCACTCTGTGCGCTTCAGCAAAGAGCCCAGCTCCAGCATCAGCCTGTTAATCACCAGTTCCTCCGGCTAGCGCTGACCAGGAACCTGGGGTTCCCTGGAGAACACTGATGACCAGATGAACATCTGAAATGGTAAAGAACTTGTAAGTGAATAATAAACCAAATATACAGTGACAGTTTGTGCACCAATGCCCGCTGTTGACAGAAAAGGCCTAGCCAACTCTAGTCCCAAAATATGTCATCAATAATAAAAGACATTCTCCAA